CTAAAAAAAATTTCTTATCGGCGGCATATTCGCCGATACCGATATATCGCGACAGGCTCATATCGGCAAAACGATATATCGGTCGGGCTCTAGTGATAACACTCGTTGCCTTCTCTAGTGCAGCTCAACCAGGTCTCGTCCCATTCGTCGATATTTGTGATATCACAAATCCTGGAAAATATGCGTTGTAGTCCAAACGAGTCGTTCGTTGTAGTTTTTGAAAAGTGATTTCTGTTAAATAAAATATCTCTTTTTGAATTGGACTTTGAGCTTTGTAACTTTGCAGATCTTTTTATGCTCAAACAACAACATTACAGACTAACTAAAGTTGAAAAAGTGAAAAAGCATAATAGGACCCCTTTAAATGAAATCACAGTGTTTCCAAACAGGTCGTCAGTATTATTTTGTGTAATATATTACATCAGGTTTTCAATGGCGTTGAAATCCTGATGCTGAGATGACCATTGCTATGTTTTAACGGTGCTGCAGGGTCTCATCCTCCAGAACAATGTTTTGAGCTATTTAAGAGCATCATCATATCAGTGATATTTACATTCTACATATATAATCAACATCCTGATAGAAATATCAAATGTGTTCTTGCACTATTCAACAACATAAAATTCATTTTATTAAATATAAAGAAATGCATACATAATTTAATCGAATGTTTACCCCATTTGTTGTATTATAACAATTAATGGTGAATGATTCACAATGAAATGCAAATCAAATTACATCAGATACATGAATTTCTTTGAATTCCATTTTTAATTCTAACCTGCTTCCTTGAATTCACATTCAAATTGCAATTCTGAATCCTGTCTGCTTCCTTCCCTTAAATTCAATTCAAATTCAGGAATTTAAAAGACATTCTCAGTTCAGCTGTGAATGGTGAACATAAATATTAAATAACGTTCTTTGTTTTTTTCCAGAAGGGGGCGCTACATATTCATCAGAGATAGAAGAGCATTCAGTTTCCTTATCCCAATCCACCATAACACGTCCATTTAGAAACAGTTCACACAAATAGTTCATGCATAAAATGAGTAAAAAGTGTTATGAACTCATCTAGTGTAAATGTCTAAATAATTTATCAATATAATATTTTGGTCCTCTGCCATGGTGCATTAGTGAGCGTTTGTTTGAAGCAGGTCTATTCAAAGAAAAACATAGCCTACTGTATATAAACTATGAGTTTACCTTAGTGTGTTCGTGAGTGATTTATCCATATCTGCTTATCTACTGACGTTGTTACATTTCTGGTGTGGATACGGATCACTTGTTTCTTATGATCAGATTTACAGTAAACACACTGCAGGAACAGCACGTCTTTAGGAACCGGTTCAATTGCTTTTGCCTCAGACGCTTAACTGTGAGAGAACAGGAGGATCTCAGTGAAACTGCATTCCACAAACATCAATGCTGAAGACATTATGGCCTGAATGTGACTCGGACTATAACTTAATGTATACGCATAAAGTAACAACAAATAAGACACATCACATGTGTTGTTTTATGATTGACTATATTTAGTATTTTAACACACTCACGTTTTACAGCATGTTTTTATAGACGTGTACATGTATTACATTTTCATACACTAATTTAGTTACATTATATACGGTTATATATGCACATTATATACTAGTTATATTCTATATAAAACATAGATTATACGGTACACAGTGATTCTTACAGGTGTCATCAGACATATAACCAAGATTATAATGGAGGTAGGAAGCATTGTCAGAGGTAGACTGTGTGTGTCTTAGAGAGGGGAAGTCAATGTATTTTAGCCAGTTGTGTGTGTCTGCTGTTAAATCTGACACAGAGACAGTTCAGACTTAAACACCTTAAATCCAGCACAGAGGGGTTCAGTGAATGTGGTGTTGAATGTGTGTAAGTGTGTGAGTGTGTGTGTGTCAGAGATCCTGTAGTAGGACAGAGTGCCAGCAGACCAGTCCAGATAAATGCCTACTCTAGTAGAGGGAGGTGAATGTGTGACAATAGTGAAGACATTATCGTGCTAAACAGCAGTTCCTTTTAAAGAGCAATTCAGACTCCAGGATTTGTCATTGTATCCAAACTTACAGACAGTCCTTTCTTTCCTGCTGATCCCTTTATAGGCCACTGCTATACGAGCCCAAGTGCCCCATTCAACCTCCCAGTAACAGCGTCCAGTCAGACTCTCTCGACACAGAACCTGAGGAATATCAGCAAATCTCTCTGGATGATCAGGATACGGCTGATGATCTTCCACATACGTGATCTTTCTGTTCTCCTCAGACAGCATGAGTTGATTGTTTGCTGTGTTTGGATCCAGTGTGAGATCACAGGCATCTGAACACAAGAAGACAAATAAAAACAGTTTATTAATCTCAGTTGTTTTCATTTAATTAAAGTCTGTGTCAGAGAGAGAAACCTACATTTTCGAAGTCCTGGTTTGATCCTGAAGGGCCCTCCATGATCCAAACTAAAAAGAGACACAAACATACAGACAACACAAATTGTGCGTAGCTGGAATAGTTTTTGACATACAGTCCGTTTCTATACAATCATGTCAAATTTACATATAGTGCTTTTCCTAATATGTATCATTTCAAATCTGCTTTACAGAGCTGTTTGACTCAATGTCTTCAGGTCCTAGTGAACAGCCAAAGGAGCAAGAAGTTTTGATTCATGGATATAGTCTTGGATAAAAAATTATTTAATATTCAATTTCCTTGCATTGAGTCATGTTACAACTATAAATATCTCTGCAGTCTTCAAATTCTCATTAACCCAATTTACATCTTCTAATGAATGCCCTCTTCTAATTTTTAGTTCTATTTTCAGCTAACAATTTCTCTCTTAGATTTAGAGTAGGAAGCATTGTCAGAGGTAGACTGTGTGTGTCTTAGAGAGGGGAAGTCAATGTATTTTAGCCAGTTGTGTGTGTCTGCTGTTAAATCTGACACAGAGACAGTTCAGACTTAAACACCTTAAATCCAGCACAGAGGGGTTCAGTGAATGTGGTGTTGAATGTGTGTAAGTGTGTGAGTGTGTGTGTGTGTCAGAGACATTGTAATACGACAGATTGCCAGCCGACCAGTCCAGACACACTCCTACTCTCTTAGATGATAAAGGGATTGATATTCTATTGCTGACATTATTGTGCCAGAAAGAAAATCCACTAGCAGTGCAGAAAAGACTCCAGGATTTGTCATTGTATCCAAACTTACAGACAGTCCTTTCTTTCCTGCTGATCCCTTTATAGGCCACTGCTATACGAGCCCAAGTGCCCCATTCAACCTCCCAGTAACAGCGTCCAGTCAGACTCTCTCGACACAGAACCTGAGGAATATCAGCAAATCTATCAGGATACTCAGGATACGGCTGATGATCTTCCACATACGTGATCTTTCTGTTCTCCTCAGACAGCATGTTTGCTGTGTTTGCTGTGTTTGGATCCAGTGTGAGATCACAGGCATCTGAACACAAGAAGACAAATAAAAACAGTTTATTAATCTCAGTTGTTTTCATTTAATTAAAGTCTGTGTCAGAGAGAGAAACCTACATTTTCGAAGTCCTGGTTTGATCCTGAAGGGCCCTCCATGATCCAAACTAAAAAGAGACACAAACATACAGACAACACAAATTGTGCGTAGCTGGAATAGTTTTTGACATACAGTCCGTTTCTATACAATCATGTCAAATTTACATATAGTGCTTTTCCTAATATGTATCATTTCAAATCTGCTTTACAGAGCTGTTTGACTCAATGTCTTCAGGTCCTAGTGAACAGCCAAAGGAGCAAGAAGTTTTGATTCATGGATATAGTCTTGGATAAAAAATTATTTAATATTCAATTTCCTTGCATTGAGTCATGTTACAACTATAAATATCTCTGCAGTCTTCAAATTCTCATTAACCCAATTTACATCTTCTAATGAATGCCCTCTTCTAATTTTTAGTTCTATTTTCAGCTAACAATTTCTCTCTTAGATTTAGAGTGAGAAGAACAATTCTTCCCATTAGGGTTGGGCCGATAGACAATGTCATCATCCACTGAAAATATTAAGGTTTATTAATTGGACTCCACATACTTGAGTATCTGCAGTTTATAGTTTGGATCCTCCAGTTTGTGGTTGAGCAGCTGGACTCCTGATTGTCCTGGGTGATTGTAGCTCAGATCCAGCTCTCTCAGGTGTGAGGGGTTTGAACTCAGAGCTGAAGACAAATAAACACAGCCTTCCTCTGTCACCATACGGCCAGACAACCTACAGACACACATCAAGAGTGAGATAATTTACAGACACACAGTCAGATCATCAACAGACAAACACAGTCAGATTATCTACAGACACACACACACAGTCAGATCATCTACAGACACAGTCAGATCATCTACAGACACAGAGACAGATCATCTACAGATACACACAGTCAGATTATCTACAGACACACACAGTCAGATCATCTACAGACACACAGTCAGATCATCTACAGACACACACAGTCAGATCATCTACAGACACAGACAGATCATGTACAGACACACAATCAGATCATCAACAGGCACACACAGACAGATCATCTACAGACACAAAGTCAGATCACCTACAGACACACACAGACAGATCATCTACAGACACACAATCAGATCATCTACAGGCATACACAGTCAGATAATCTACAGACATACACAGACAGATCATCTACAGACACACAGTCAGATCATCTACAGACACACAGTCAAATCATCTACAGACACACACAGTCAGATCATCTAGAGACACACACAGTCAGATCATCTACAGACACACAAAGTCAGATAATCTACAAACAGTCAAATCTTCTACAGACACACAGTCAGATCATTTTCAGACACACACAGTCAGATCATCTACAGACACACACAGTCAGATCATCTACAGAAACACACAGTCTGATCATCTACAGACACAAACAGTCAGATCATCTACAGACACACACAATCAGATCATCAACAGACAAACAGTCAAATCATCTAGAGACACAGAGTCAGATCATCCACAGACACAGTCAGATCAACTTCAGACATACACAGTCAGGTCATCTACAGACACACACAGTCAGGTCATCTACAGACACACAGTCAGATCATCTACAGATATACAGTCAAATCATCTACAGACACACATTTAGATCATCTTCAGACATACACAGTCAGATCATCTACAGACACACACAGTCAGATCATCTACAGACACAGTCAGATCATATACAGACACACACAGTCAGATCATCTTGAGACATACACAGCCAGGTCATCTTCAGACACACACTGTCAGGTCATCTACAGACAAACAGTCAGATCATCTACAGACATACACAGCCAAATTATCTACAGACACACACAGTCAGATAATCTACAGACATACTCAGATCATCTTCAGACACACACAGTCAGGTCATCTACAGACACACAGTCAGATCATCTACAGACATACACAGTCAGGTCATCTACAGACACACAGTAAAATCATCTACAGACACACAGTCAGATCATCTACAGACACACACATTCAGATCATCTTCAGACATACACAGTCAGATTATCTACAGGCACACACAGTCAGATAATCTACAGACACAGTCAGATCATCCACAGACACACACAGTCAGATCATCTACAGACACAGTCAGATCAGAGACATACAGACACACACAGGTCATCTACAGACACACAGTCAGATCATCTACAGACATACACAGTCAGATCATCTACAGACA